TTACCTTGATCGGAGTGCATTAGCTATAAGGAGACATTGGACAAAATGGATTGTTTTTGCTCGAGCACCGGAAGCTGAAGGGCAACCTGATAGAAGTATATAAAATTATGAGAGGCATGGATAGGGTGAATAGTTGGAGTTTCTTTCCCAGGGTAGATATGTCAATTACTAGGGGACATAGGTTTAAGGTAAAAGGGGGAAAGTTTTAAAGGAGATGTGACAAGTAAGTTTTGCTTTTACACAAAGGGTGGTAGGTGCCTGGAATCCGCTGCCAGAGGAGATGGTAGAAGTGAAATGTTAAAGGGTTAATATCTGTTCTGCTGACATATAAGAAATTAGGTGCTTCGTCGGCACCCCTGTCTCGCAGACAAAATGGGGTAATCTAATTATACTCTGCTCTCTGTAAATGTTGAACTAAGGCTAAAAAGATCTCGCAGACAAAAGGTGGTAATCTAATTATACTCAGCTCTCTGTAAATGCTAAAAGGATAAGGAACTACCTCGTCTTATACATTGTTTTTGGGCAGCTAACCTTTGTTTTACTGTTAGATGATTAAGTTACGTGATTATGGGGGAGCAAAAAATTGTATCTTGTATGCAAGACTGTGCTGTAAAAACCTATATAAAGGGAGGACGGTTCCCTTACAGAGAGCATCGCTTGACATGGCTCCGCAAGCCCTGCGAAGATTGTTAAGTGATCCTCCAAAGCTTGTACTTGCTTAAATAAACGGTTGCTGTTCACAGATGTTGGCTTATTGCATTTGTATCAAGTGCGTAGGAATCTCCTAAAAGGGAACTCAACAGAAGCAGATACAATAGCAATGTTTAAGAGACATCTTGACAAATGCATGAATGGGTAAGGAATAGAGATATATGGACCATGTAGCGCCAAAAGGTTTTTAATTAAGAAAGGCATGTTTTAATGCAGGTTTGGTGGTCTGAAGGGCCTGTGCAATACTGTTCTTTGGTCTCAGTGTAGCTTCTGTATGCTACACACTGCAATTGGTCTCAGTACTGATTGAATATGATTAGCACTGCACCTATCAGTATATGGAGCAAATGAAAAATTATTTGGAGAACTTGGTCTCCTTAGTTTTATCATGCCAGTATTAAATCATCCTCATGAAAAGGAATAAAGTACTGTCCATACTTAGATGCAAAGTTGTAATAACCACATTTTGTAAAAGAAATCTTGAGGCAATTGTTCCAACTTATGGTAGAATGACAACATACCTATTCCTCAGTAAAGTGTTATCATAGTAAGCACACGCTGCACTCTTTCCAGTGCATGTCTTATTCCACCTAATGCAAGTTGAATCTATGACAGCACCAAACAGAACAGGAGCTGGTAACCATGCTGCGAGAAGAAGAAAAGCAAATTGTAAAACTTCTGCATCTCATACCCATACCCCTGTACTATATATATATATATCTATCTCTCTCTCTCACACTCAAACACACACTCACACACACACCCTCAAATATTGTGGAACAAGAGGAAAGGTTTTAATGGAGCAACTATAGCAATCAGCCACTGATGTCAAACCCATGTTGACTTTTATTCCAAACCTAATCCCAGTGGTAAAACTGAAATGGGCAATTTTGTAATCTACCACCATGCTTGTTTCTGTGCCAAATTTAAAAAAAAAAATTCTTTGAGAGCCAGCAACATATTGCGTTGTTCCCCTCATCGATGAGAATGCTATTTGTAGAAAGTGAAGCCAGGCCTCTTAGCAGTGCCAGATTACAAGTCACTATTCTTTCAAATGGAAGAGGATGGACATCTGTTCCACACTCAGATTGTAATGCATTTCTCAATGGTTTGTAGTACTCACTGACTTGTACTCACCAAATAGCCTCATTATCAGAAACTGAATCCCAATTGCAAATGATTTTTCTTCTTGTCTCACCACTCTGTGGAAAAAGAAGACATCAAGAATCTGTAGCTTTGATCGTATGAGCACACGTAGCACGGCCATCCTCTTTGAAGTAAAGATCAGTCTGAGCAAATCGGCAGCACTGTGTCCACAGTTCTATTCACTTTTCATATTCCCCCCACATTCAGTGGAATACATTCCTCTGTCACATTTCCCATTAAGGCAAATGAAACATTTTTTTCTGCATTAAGATTTGCTCTATAAGATTGATTCTTTTCTCAGACTAGATAGAAAAGATGTTTCATCTTAATATAAATGTGCAGATAAATTTATTTGTCAAACCATTTTGCATTGAAAACACCTATTGAATGTGTCTATGCAATGTATGCTTCTATTCAATCGATCCTTGCCGTTCTAAGAATGTGGAAACCAGAAGCATTGCAATAACCTTGCCAGTGATTCTTCTCCAAATGCAGGAACCTACCTAGAATTTTCTGGAGTTTTCCAGAATGAAACATTCAGCTCCCCAGACTCTCATAAATAGGAGGTGCACAAAAGCAAGATCAACATTAGATTTGAAATTAGAGAGGTGCATTCAACAGTCTAATAACAGCTGGGGAAAAGCTGTTCTTGAACTTGTTGGTATGTGTGCTCAAGCTTCTGTATCTTCTGCTTGATGGAAGAGGTTGGAAGAGATTATTACCAGCGTGGGAGGGGACTTTGATGATGTTAGCAGCCTTTCTGTGGCAACCAGAAGTGTAGATGGAGTCCATGGAGAGGAGGTTGGCTTTCATGATGTTAAGGGTTGTACATTTGAGACAGAAATGAGAAGGAATTTCTTGTGAATTATCTTGTGGAGTGAATCTACAGAGGCTGGGTTGTTAAGCATATTTGAAGGCTGAGAGACAGATTTGTAATCAGTAAGGGAATCAAGGATTATGGGGAACAGGCAGGAAAGTGTAATTTAGGATTATCAGATCAGGCATGACCTAATTAAGTGGTGGAACAGACTTGATGGGTCAGAAGTACTATCTCCCGCTATGTCCTATGGTCTTACAGATTGCTAGGAAAGCAACGAGTTGCATTTATAATTGTGTTATCAATGAGTAAAATGTTCCAAGATACATCACAAAGGTGTAATCAGACAACTCACTCGAAGGAGAAGCTGAGAGGATTGGTGAGTCAAAGCTTGGTCCAAGAGATTATATACAAACCCTTGTCCTTAAACCAAAGGGACACATGGTCATGCGTTCCAAGTACTTACCGGAGCACTGTCATGTAGAGAGGATTGTGGGTAAGTGAAGCTATCAATCCAATTAAAGTGATGCTAATAACCATTGAAAGAAGCAAGTGGGTGCAGCTGACTTTGCAGTGTCCAGGGTGAGCATAGTCCTCATTGTTTGATGTCTGAATGCAGCTACAATTCAAGTGAGTCTAGGTTGAAAGGAAGAAGGGCACTGGTGTGAGATAAACATTTATACGTAAAGACAAAGTAACTTTCACAGTTCCCCTACGCACTTATAGGATTCACTTGTTAAATAATAATCAGGTGGCACGGTAGCTCAGTGGTTAGCACTGCTGCCTCACAGCACCAGAAACCCAAGTTCAATTCCACCCTCAGGCAACTGTCTGTGTGGAGTTTTCACATTCTCCCCATGTCTGCATGGGTTTCCTCCCCCAGTACAAAGATGTGTGGGTTAAGTGGACTGGCCATGTTAAATTCAACATAGTGTCCAGGGATATGTAGGTCAGGTAGATTGGCTATGTGAAATGCAGGGTTACAGGGGGAGGGGGGGAATGTGGATCTGGGTGGGATGATCTTCTAAGAGTTAGTGTGGACTCAATGAGTTGAATGGCCTGCTTCTACATTATAGGGATTTTATGAATCATCATACACTAAAGTACTGGTCAAGAATTCCTGAGTATCAATTGGACTGTATGAGTGCAGGTTCATTTTGTTTTATTAATGCTAGGGCTGAACACATTAGTAACTAAAATATCAGTGTGCAGACATGATAGGTTATGTGGTGTGTTATACTGCTTTAGTCTGGGATTCTTTGCTACATATTAATTGCATAATATTTAACAATTGTTGAGTCATGCTATTATGGAAATAATTGACTAAAGTTCCAGGAGCATAGTGCTGTAATTCCAATTACATGAATTACCTCATTAGAACCTCTTGTACACTTATGATGGAAATTTTATTGCGGGTTTCATTATACCTGATTGACTGATGTCGAATAGCTCAGTTGGGTTATTGAGGTGCATCAGCTACAAAGTGAAAGTAGCTGAGTTCCCAAGTAAGTGCCTTTAAGAAATGCCCCTTTAAGAATGCATTGGAACCTTGGTATGAGATAGTGACCATAAATGAGAGAAAGGAAAAATATCGGATGAAAGACACAGGGAACTGAAGACCTAAAACCACCTACCCCCCACCCCCCGGCTTTACGCCGTAACCCTGCATTTCCCATAGCCAATCTATCTAACCTGCACATCCATGGACACTATGGTGAATTTAGCATGGCCAGTCCACTTGTATATTGCTGACATATAAGAAAATGCTCCAAGGTGCTTGATCATTGTATTTTAAAATAAAGTATCACACAAAATGACTTAAAACTGAAGGGGAAAATAGTTAGTATGGGCAATTAGATAGTGAGGGCTATAGGAAGGGCTGATTTGGGGAGAAATAAGCAGTATAAGTTCCTGGAACAAGAAATACATGTTAACAATTTGAGATGCAAATATGGAATGAGATAATTGAATAATATAATCACATGTATTAGTCTGAAAATGACTGAATTATATAGTTATGTGTAAGGATTTGGAATTCTGTCTACTTAGAGTGGGGCAGAAATGTAAGTGTAAAACTTCAATTGGAAAGCATTATTTGTTGAAATATTCAATTTGGATGTCACTTAGTAGTAAAGTAGAAGTAGTAAAAGAACCTTTGTTCTTGTGAAGAATATCTGAACTATATACCATTTTCTTAAGGTGTATATCTCATGCATGCACGAAGAAACTCATGAAAGAAACCAGAGTCTTATCTCATCAAAAACCAGAAAACAGGGGTAAAGTTATGCTTCAACAGAGTAATATGATATCAGGTGGCCAAGTATATGATCAAAGATGGTGATTCTCTTGCTCTAATCAATTAACTTAAACAAAATAAGATAGGGACTTCAGGCCGTGATGGGAGTGTTTGGACAATACTCCCAAGTGTAATTGTTATCCTTTAAAGGGAGTAACTAAGAATCTAAACAGTAGTCATGGCAGTAGATCTCAGACCCATGATACGTCTTCCCTGCACTATGTGGGAAGTCATGGATTCTTCCAAAGCCTCTGGCGACTGTGTGTTCAGGAAGTATGTCCAGCTGCCGTACTGATTGTGAGGAGGTCAGCCAGGTGGACCTCACAGAATATGAGTTCTCTGATTGGGGCTGTTAATGTGGTCCAATCAGGGAGCCCTAGCTCTCAGACATAAACAGGAGTGTCAGACATCCTGTTCAGTCTGAGAGATGGCTCAGTGTCAAGGACTCTCCACATGTAAAGAAAAGGTTACTTGGCCTAAGGGAATTATTTCAGTGGCGACAAGAGAAAAGCACACTTCTGAAGAAATTCGCTTGCGACAGTTGTCTTTGAGTTGGGGATAAGCATTTCCGGCATCATTGTTATTTCGGAAGCTTGGCTTGTTCAATTCTGCCATTGAAGTCTGGGTGCAGTATGTGGAAAGAATGCATTATTTTTTCCAGTCAAATGACATTAGAGCAGATGAAAAGCAATGAGTAATTCTCCTGACAGCTTGTGCACCTGCAATTACGAGCCTAACTTTCCCTGAGGCACGAGATATGAAAACCTTTCAAGACTTGACAGGTTTAGTGAAGGACTATTACGACCTCAAACCTCCTCTAATTCTGAAATGCTATCAATTTTACTCAGCAATTCAAGAACCAGGGGAATCTGTACTGGGATTTTTGACTGGGTTAAGATGACTAGCAGAGGCTTGTGATTTTGATTTAACCCTTAATGAGATGCTGAGAGACTATTTGGTATGTGGGATTAATGATGTAACAATGTAAAAGTGGCTGATAGCTGAAGCCTAACTAGACTTCAAACAGGCACTATGACTGACTTTATCATTGGAAAATGCAGCAAGTGGGCCATAAGAGTTTCAGGGTATTCCGATGCAAGTGGACACCCTCGCCAGGCCGACTAAGCTTGGGAACACCATTTGAGTAAAGGCAATTGCATCATCTCAATCAGGACATATCCTAAACAGAGGGACTCTAGGTCAGCCCAAAGAAAAAACCCAAAACAAAGCAAAGCCTCAATTAAAATTTTCTTTGGGATTCATGCTGGCAAGCCATTGCAGTTGCTTCTGGTGTGTGGACTCAAGACAGCAAAAGAATCCCACGATACCCAAATTGAGTAAGAGAACTTATACGCCAGTATCCAAGAGAGTGTGTGCCCGACAGCCCACCTACAGGTGGTTTGGAATTGCTTAGCAACATCCAAATCAGAACCAATCAAAATAATGCCTGGTTAAATGGTCACCCGGTTCTAATGGAGGTCGATACTGACGTGACTGTTTCAGTGACCACAGAACTAGTCTTCAATAAAATTCGTTCTGGCCTCCAACCCTTAAGTTTGTGCAAGACCTTGGCTGGACGGAGACACTATACTGGGGAACCTTTACAGATTAAGGGTACAACTTTGTTTCCATCTCTTATGAGAAGCAGTTGGTGCAGTTACTACTAATTGTCGTAAAAGGCTCAGGCCCAAGCTTGAAGGGGCAGAATTGGTTCAGAAAGATTCACCTAGACTGGCTCAACTCAACCAGTCCAGTTTGCCAAATGGGCAGCACCGGTCATACCCATTGTGAAGCCGGACGGGTTGATCTGCCTTTGTGGGGATAGAAAATAAACAGTAAACCGTTTTTTTTTTTGCAGCTGGATAAATATCTAATCCCTCGCATAGAAGATTCATATGCAAAGCTGGCGGGAGGCTGTCCTTCATGAAGCTGGGCATGAGCCATGTGTACTTGCAATTGGGGTTAGACAAGAATTCCCAGAAGTATGCTAGAGTTAATATCCATAATATGCATCCTGGTACTGTTTGTACCAGTATATGAGACTGCCATTTGGGGGTATCATCAGCTTTGCAATTTTTCAATCGGACGATGGAGAACATTTTACAAGGTCTATCCTAGGTCGTTATTTATCTAGATGATGTGCTAATAACAGGGAATACCAATATGGAGCACTTAGAGAACTTGGACATAGTCCTTAGATGTTTCTCCCAGGTGGGCATATGCCTGGGAAGGGAGAAATGTGTGTTCTAGGCACCCTGATACAGAGTCAACAAGGCCGGATTACTCCCATTGGAAGATAAAGTGAGGGTGATCTAAGGTGCCCTGGATTCCATATCTGTACTGGACATTAGGTCTTTTCTTGGGCTGGTGAATTATAACAGAAAGTTCATACATATACTGGAACTTTTGCATCAACTGTTTAAAAATAAAAGGACAGCCTTGAAAATGGATGTGTAGCTAAGCCATTATCTTTCAGGAAAATGAAGGAACAGCTATCATCCTCTAAGGTGTTGGCATAGTAAGATTCCAAGCAAGATCTGGTATTGACATGTGATGCTCCCTGTATGGCATCAGGGTCATATTAGCTTATAGGTGGCCCAATGGACGAACGCCCAATAGCGTATGCATGCAGGACTTTGGCTAACACAGTACAAATATGCCCAGACAGAGAAGGAAGGTTTGGCAGTCTTATTTGGAGTCTGGAAGTTCCATCAATACCTTTTTATGGATGTAAATTTGTAATAATAACAGGCCACAAACCCCTGCTAGGTCTACTTAAAGACGTCAAGGCAGTGCCGCCCATAGCTTCAGGCCAAATTCAGCAGTGGGGTCTAATAATTACAAACATAATTAATGTGAACAATTACAAGTTGTAACACCATTCAGGACACCAAGTAGCAAATACAAACACATTGAGCTGCCTCCTGCTGGCAGGTACACCACCGTTGGTGCCATAGACGGTACGGTCCATTATGCTTTTAAATTTTCTGGATACACTTCCAGTCACAGCTGACTTTGGACACAGAAAGATCCGGTCCTAGCAAAACTGAAACAACTTGTGCTAATGGGGGAAACCAAAGGGCCATCACGGCCAGAAGTGAAACCTTTTTTGGACCGGGAGAGACCAGATCACAGAAGGCAGCATATTGTTATGGGGAGAAAAGGTGATTGTCCTGAGCAAAGGTACTGACACTGGCTGAGCTCCACCAGGATTATTCAGGAGTTTCCAAAATGAAGATGTTGGCAAGAAGCTATGTCTAGTGGCCAGGATTGGATGCAGACATGGCCGCAGTGGTGCGGCAGTGCCCAGAGTGCCAACAAGGACAAAAATTACTGCTAGCAGCTCCCTCACATTCATGGGAATGGCCACCCAAGTGGCTGGATGTACATAGAGTTCATTGGTCAAACACGGGGATGATGATTAAAAAGCTGCGAGCATCTTTGGCAATACATGGACTTCCAGAGGTGTTGATTACCAGAAGGGAATTTGAGTATTTCCTAAAATCGAATGCCTTTCAACATATAAGAACAGTTTTGTACCATCCATCATCCTATGCTCTGGCAGAAACTTTGAAGGCACACTTAAAGAAACAGCCTACAGCTTCACTAGATAGCAAACTGTCCCGGTTCCTCTTTGATTATTGGACCACCCCTCATGCAACTACATGGAAAGCTCTAGCACAGTTGCTAATGGGGAGAAGACTCTACACCTGGTTAAATCTGACATTACCAGACCTGGAGCGGGGGATGGGTGAAATGGTATCAGGAACGCCAATGCCAGGCACAAGACTCGGCTGAGGGAGAAAGACCGTTTACTTCAGAGGACGAAGTTTGGTGTAGGATAAGAGGCATGGTCGACACAACCTCAGGTCCAGTGACTTATAAAGTTTGGGTAGGTGCAACGATCCTGAACAAGCATGTGGACGATATGAAAGCTACAAACTTGTAAATGGTACAAGAGCAAAACGTGGCCGGCTACTTGATAGCCTTTCTGACTGTTCCGGGACCTGTGGTCTCTCCAACTCCGTCAAGCATTGATGATATCTTGGAATCTGAGATGGGCACAGTGAATGTTGCCGCCTCAATGCCTTTGCCACCTGACGGAGAGAATGAGTTTCTTCCAATACACTCTAGGCGCAAGAGGTAAGCTACTGTGCATTACACGTCACCTGTACAGAGGCAGAGTTGAAAGGACCTGACCCGATGCTAAAATGCCCTGGATAGAGCTACTAAAAAGTAACTGGTTTATGTATGCAGAATCCAAGTTGTATTTCAGGGGGTGGTGGGGGACATGTGATGGTACCGAGGTCAGCCAGGTGGTTCTCATTGGGGTTGTTAATCTGGTCCAGTCAGAGAGCGTTGGCCGACAGATAAGAACAGCAGTGTAGCACAATTTTTCTCTGAAAAAGGGTCCCGACCCAAAAAGTCAGCTTTCCTGCTCCTCTGATGCTGCCTGGCCTGCTGTGTTCCTCCAGCCCCACACTATATTATCTTATTTGTACAGCACATGGTGTTCACCAAAGCTCTCAATGCCTTTATGGAGAGGTGAGCAGCACGGTGGGATAGACTGCTTTGTTTCCCCCTCCAACTCTATTTTGATTTTAAACCCTACCCTCCCCCTTCATTTTCTTCACATAAGCATTGTCCTTATCGAGTTTTGTTTTATATTGGTTCACTGACAACATGAGTGTTTTCGTGGTGGTGGAAATATTGAATAAAGTTTTTGCACATGGTGTCTTTACTGATTCACCTCATATCAACACACACAACATGGGTGTTGTGGGGAAAACATTAAGCATTACTGCTATACAGTGGTAATGTGGGAGAAAAGAAAAAGAACAGTGTCTGGGTTGCCTGCTTCTGCTCTATCCACTGCCCAGACACACCTTGGCGTGCCTATTCACCATGGGGTGGTAAGGATCCCCAGTGGAGGGCTCACTATGTGGGAGTCCTCCCTCTTTCCCTTGAGGATCTGGGGTGGAGGATGTTGCACACAGCAGTCCCTTTATAACTGCAGATTGAAGTGGTTCATGTATTCCTAGTCCAACCGCTTATTTTGCAACGCTGTGTAGTCTGTATGGATATTGGTTGTGCGCATTTGCACCCCCTTATTAATTATTTGAAAAGCCTTTTGTTATTACACTTTTGGTTGCACTTCAGCCCCACGTTCCTGATCTTTAGGCACCTGGTGTGAAGGGGTGCAGGCAGATCAGGGGACCTCCTCATGGATCTGCTCCTGGGCCTGGCCAAGCTGGCTATAAACAAGTCCAAGCAGCAGGCTGTGGAGGGGATCATCTCTGCCAACTGTCTCCCCTCTTCCACGGTTATGTTCTCTCTTGGTTGTCCATAGAGAGGGATCACCCAGTGTCCACCAATGCTTTCAATGCCTTTAGGGACAGGTGGGTGCTATGGTGGGTGGGCTCCATTACTTCCGCCTCCAATTCTATTTTGATTTAGTCCCTACCCTCCTCCTTCACTTCTTAACACATAACAAGCATTGCCATGATAATGTTTATGTTTCACTAGCCACACGAGTGTTTTCCTAGTAGTGGAAAATACAGAATAACATTCTTTAAGAAGAAAAGAGATCAGAAGTGTCAAACATCCTGTTCACTCTGACAACTGGGTCTGAGGGAACTGGATCAGTGTGAAGGACTGCCCACGTGTACATAAAAGGTGACTTGGTGACGGGATACCAGCCTTTGTGGAGTTATTTCAGCAGCAGTTTCTGGTTAACTGCATTTTTGGAGCTGCAGCTGCAGGTGGAGCATCTGTTGCTATCCCCTGAGAAGTTGTTTCACCAGCAGTATCCAAATAGTTGAACGGTTAGAGAGGCCAATCATCACCAGGATCTCCTACTCCACCTTCCTTTCTCTATTCTTCACTGCTTCTTTGTCTGCCTGTTCAGTTTTTACCTTTGGTGTGACCACCTCACTGAACATGCTGAGACTGTTGTGGAAAGAAACTTTTAAAAAAAGAGGGAGAGGAAAGACTGAAGTACAGAGCAGTTAGCCTACTGTCAGTAGTGGGGGACACTGCTGAAGTCTATTATGAAAGACATGATAACAGTACAATTGGAAAGCATTTATGGGACTAGACAAAGTCAGCACAAGTATATGAAATGGTTAACTAATGGACTGGAGTTTTTGAGAATGTAACTATACAGTAGATAGGAGAGAACCAAAGGATGTAGTGTGTTTGAATTTTGAGAAGAGGCTAGTGGTCAACATTAAAGCACATTGGATTGGAGTAATTTATTGGCATTGATTTGAAATTTGTTGATAGACCAGAAAAGGAGAATGGGAATGAATGTGTCTTTTTCCAGCCAGCACGGCACCAGTGGAGTACTGCAGGAATAAATGCTCCAAGCCTCAGCTATTCATGATATTTATAAATGTCTTGGATGAGGGAACCAAATGCAATATTTCAACATTTGAAAAGGGCAGATAATAGATTTATATAAAACAAAGGAAACAGAAGTTGTTTTCAGTGAACCTCAACAGCACTTACCATAATCATCCTTGTGGATTGATTGAAGATAGAATGTGTACAACCAGCATGGCAGGGTGAGATATATTCCACAGCATCAACTCCACACACTGGGTTGTAGGTGTAATCAAAGCAGAAGCAATGAGCATTACAGTCAGTCTGGAGACTGAATGAAGAGGACCTGACAAGATCCAGAAATAACACAAGAAAGTCAAACAACAGCTCACCTCAAATGAAACCAATCCTGACTGCACTGAATAACACAGACATTCCTAACAACTACACATAGTGAATTTGTGGGACTGATATAAATTAGATATTGGTATCCAAGAAGTTGTACAGCTAAACTTGAGGCTGAGAAGCTCCCGATTTACTCTGGTCTTAGGAAAGCCCTGTAGCTAAAAGAAGACTCGAATTACCAACCAACCTCCTCACTTGGCCAAATTGAGAAATGTCTCCCTACACCAACACTGTTACCCCCGCTCAACTCTCCCAACATGCTGCTCATCACTCCCAACTTTGAAATTGCTCACCTCCTCCCCTCCCTGGCCCTTCCCCTATCTTCTGACTCACCTTCTGGAATCCTATCTGGCTCATGTTAGAAGAATCCACATTGTCAGACTGTGGCAGGGATGGGGTGGGGATTCTAGAACTAGGAAGCATAGTTTAAAAAGTAGAGCCAGACCTTTTAGGAGTGAAATTAGGAAATATATTTTTACATTAAGAAGATAGAAGTGTGGAACTGTCTGCTTCATAAATGGAAATTGTTATTAGATTAAAACCTGAGACTTGTAGGTTTTTGTTACTCAAAGGTATTTAGAAATATGGGTCTTTGGTTGCAGGTCAGTTATGATCTCATGGAGTAGTGTGACGATGCTGTGGCTTTAAGAGGTTATTTTGTCCTTTTTTATTTACAAAGAAGCTTTAAGACAGAGGTGCTGAGCTTTCTATTTGAAAAAGCCAGTAAACTACTTGTGAGGCCTTGGATTTTTTTTTAAATCTTGGAACAATAGAAGCAGCCTGGATGGGTGTGCCAGCTCTCTTTGACCAGGATTTCTATTTTTTTTTATCTTTTCTCACTTTCAGTTACAGCTAGAAGCTGAGGTTTCTCTCTGCTGTTGGTTTACCTGTGAGACAAATCTATTTTTCTGAATTTGCCGTTTTTGGCAAGGGATGTGTTTATGGAATGTTACTATATTGGAACAGTTAATTAGTAATAGTTACTGTATCTATTATTCAGTTAAATTTTCCAATAGAGTAAAGTTATTCTAAATTATTCTTTCATTTGTTGTATTTTAACTATAGTGTTTAAATAAATTGTGTTTTGCTTAACGCTGGGTAGTTTGACCAATCGAATTACATCTGGAACACAGCATTTGCCTTTAAAATATGGAAAAGTTATAGCCTAGGCTACCTTCCTAAAGTATTTTGTGGGGGTCTGGTCTAGTCTATAACTATAGCGAGACCCGCTCAAGGGGTTGAACAGCCTGTGCTTGTTCTTATGTTGCTATGATTACTCTTTATTTGTTTAAACTTATGCTTGATTCCAACTCTGGAGACAGGCAATGTTGTCATTCATTAAAGGTCAAACAATTAGGAAAACGAAACCACATGGTAGTGAATCAGCTGGCAGTCATGTAAGCTGCTGCTAATGTGAACATCCACTAAGATGTGGAATGGGTGACCGATTTGTTTTTGCTGTTTTGTGTTCTTTGCTGAAGTTGAAGTTCTGTTAAGAATCCACATTGATAGACACCATCACATAGTCTGGCTGCAATATCATCACTTCAAAATTATTTCAATTTGCTCACTTTGAAGAATTAATTTTCCAAACATTCTCCCACAAATTTCATCGTTCACAGCATTGGCCAGATCCTGCCCCTGTTTTAGCTCAATATCTAGGTGTAGTGCTTTCCTCCTCCAGATTTAAAGCTTGCAGAGTCTAGACTACTCAACACAAACTTGACAAGCTTGTTCTAGAAATGCAAAGTAGGGCTTGCAGCATTAAAATGAAGAGTGCAACGATCAGGGGCCATGTTATTACCCCCCATGGCATCTTGAAGCTTTACTGACAACTGCTCTGCACCACTGTAAACAATTTCAGCCAAAACACACAAGGAAATGAGAGTTAATTGTGCGTGTGTGTGTGTGTGTGTGTGTGTGTCTGTGTCTGTGTCTGTGTGTGTGTATCAACATTGCGAACCTTATGAAATTGTTCCACAGGATCTTAGGTTAATAACATGGATTTAGAACCACGATCCTTGATGCAGCAATCTTTTTAACCTCAGCTGTTTAGAAATGGGGAGCATTTGCCCAGAGATTGAGGCCTACTACACAGAAGTAACAGCGAAATGAGTGTACTAACCCTGGCTGCCTCAAGAACCACAAAACAGACCAAGTGGAATGCTTATAATGGGTTTCTCTGCCTACTGTGAGCCTTAGGCCTGGGCTAATCTCAACAGACACAGCAGATATAGCATAGTTATGCCAGTGCAAACCAGCATTTCTTAAGATTCACAAATAGAAGAAGAGATTCTTTTTCCCCATTATTTTCTATTATATTGACAGGGAATTACTCCCAAACACATGATTACCTGTTTCCATCTTTACTATAATTGATTCCAGCAATTTTCTGAGTTGAGCATCCCAAGAAAAACAAAGGAATGGTCAGAATAATGACCAGACTCAGAACACTGGCTGAGCACCAGGGGATCTTCGCCAGGGAGAGATGGAAACGCTTCATAAAAAGCCCACCGAGGATCATTCCTATAGCAATAGCCGGCAGCATTATAGATCCTAAAGAGGGAAGAATAACGACTCATCAATGAAATAAAAGCAAAGGCAAAGGCAAAGGCAAATTACATTGGATTCTTGAGATTTGAAATCAAAACAGAAATTACTAGAGAAACCCGATAGGTCTGGCAGCACCTGTGGAGAGGCAGACAGAAGTTAACATTTCAAGACATATCCGTGAGAGATGTCACACTCCAGTACTGAGTGATGTGCATTGCACAGTCTGACACCTCATGTCCCAATGAGTACAGTGGACCGATGTAGCTGCATTCCTAGCCTGATGTTCAGTGCGGTTGTGTCGAACACACCGAGTAAAGGTCAGGGCAAGGAGGCTGCTGAATGGGATTGGCACAGACTGGGAGTGATCCTAATACCTTGGGAGCATTTGACAGAACACCTGTAAGCAGTGGGCAAAGAACACATCTGGAGTGAGGCACATCCTGGATGAGTGCATGTTTCTGGGATTTTGGAGTCAGAGTAGAAAAAGTGATTTTTTGCTTTTTTTTGGTTCATAGTTTAGATGGTCTTTTAACTGGATAAATTGAGGCCCAGCACTAAACTGAAGTGACACCACAAGAAACCTGTAAGTTCTTCAGTTGGTAATAGATGTTCATTTGAATACTGATTGAAGACTAGCTAAAATGCACTGGGGCAAGTAACAGTCAGAGAATAAGAAAAGGGGAGTATCTTTTTTCATTAAGTAATAAGAAAAGTCAACGAGTAAAACTAAAAGTTTAATTTTAAAACGTGGCAAGTAAGGTCAACTCATTGGAATTTGTGACTGGTCACATGTTGGAAGTTTTGGATCCTACCAGCATCCAAGATGACCATGTATGCAGGAAGTGCTCCGAACTGCAGCAACTTGAGCTCTGTGTTTTGGACCTCAGGCAGTGGCTGGAGACACTGTGCGATATGTGACACTCAGTTACACGAATATCACATTTAAAGAGGTGGTCACACTGGACCTGAGGGACTGGAGAAAAGAAGGGAATGGATGACCACCAGGCAGTCAAAGAAAATCAGGCAGGTAGGGCAGGAACCCCTTGCTATCCCGCACACAAATTGTTATTTTCTATTTAAATTTATAAAGGGTATTTGTCCTCAAGGGACTACAGTCAGAGCTAAGCTGCTGGTACCACAGGCAGCCTGACTGTACAGCAAATGGGGAGGAAGAGAAAAGCAGGAACAATAGTTACAGGGGAATAGACTTCGAGGACTGTAATCACTGGATCACTCTTTGTGTCAAGTCCCAGCGAACACAGAAATACAAGAATAAGGTAGATGCATGCATGGCTCAAGTGGTGGTGCAGGAGGGAGGGATTGAGATTCCCAGATCATTGGGACCATTTCTAGGGAAGGTAGGATGTCTACAACTGGAACGGTCTGTATTTGTACCAGAATGGGACCAACATCCTTGCAGGTGGGATTGTTAGCGCAATTGGGAGGAATTGAAAGTAACTTGTCAGAGGCATACATTAGAAAAAGAACCTAGGCAGAAGGAATTCAGACATGTTGAGTCTCAAGAGAGTAAGGCAAGGCTGGATGGTCTCTTTGTTAAAGTTAGGAGTATCATAAGTAAGACAGATGAATTAAGGGCACGGATTGACATGTGAAATTGCAATACTGTTGCCAGCACACCGATTGTGGTTGAGAGAAAAATAGAACTGCAACACAATATAGTGTATAGGATCTATCAGGCAAGACAGAGGAGTGAGCAAAAGAGGAAGTGTTGTCACATTATTAATTAAGGAGGCAGTCCAATAAAGCTGGACAATATCTTGGAAGGGTCATTAAATGAGGCTTTGTGGGTACTTTTCAGGATTAAGAAAGGAGAAGTCACACTGCTAGGATTGCATTGTAGACCCCCAAACAATCAGTGGAAAACTGAGGAGTAGATATGTAGACAATTCACTGAGGGGTGCAAAAAACTTCCCTGACATTAACTGGGATAATCATAGTAGTGAGGGTTTAGAGGAGGCAGATTTCTTGAAATGTATTCAGGAGAACATTTTATATCAACATATAGATGGTCCAACAGGAGACCATCTGGTCCTAATTCTAGGGAATGAAGCCGGACAGGTGTTCGAGGTAAGAGTGGGGACGTATCTTAGCGATGGCAATCACAACATTATACACTTTAAGTTTGTTATGGAAAAGGAGGAAAATGGTTTTGGGTTCTGGGAAGGCAGATTTTATTAACATGAAGCAGGATCTGGCCAAAGTCAACTGGGAACAGTTAACTGAGGGTAAATCTACAGCAGGACAGTTGGAGGTGTTCAGAAAGAAATTGAGAGCTCAAGCCCAACATATTCCCTTCAGGATGAAATGTAGGAGCAACAAGCCCAGATCATCATGGATATCTAGGAATATTCAGGACTGAATATAACAGGGGCCAAAGGAATAAATCAGCTAAGGCCCTAGAGGTGTGTAAGAAATGCAGAGGGGACCATAGGAAAGCAATTAAAAAAGCAAAGGGGGGGGGCATGAAAAACACTGATGGGCAAGATTAAGGAGAATCCCAAGACTGCCATTATCAAGAATCCCATTAAAGATCAAGGGAGCAATCTGTGTGTGAAGGCAGAGGACATTAGTAGAGTGGTAAATGGATACTTCACATTTGTCTTGACTTAAGAGGACAATGTAGGTATAGAATTTGGGAAGAAGGTCTGAGAGGTTCTTGAGCAGGTTGATATTGGAAGTGAGGGAGGTATTGGAAGAAATAAACACATTTCACTCATTCAGCTGCTCGCAACTGAAAAACAGTGATGTCACAGAAATGCAGTGAGCCAATTAGTTGGTAAGGACTATGCTTTTAGGGACTAATCTAAATAGCAGTAATTTCAGAGAAGCGTATTATTATTATTAAAATTGTTAAGGGATTTACTGACAGCATGAGTAAAAAGTCTAGAGAATTTAAAGAAGACCGAAGTTAAAGTGAGGGGAACACCCTAGCCCCATAACCCCATATTTACCAGAGTTAACCCACCTAGCCTGCACATCCCTGAACACTACGGTGCAATTTAGCATGGCCAAGCCATCTAACCTCCACATCTTTGAAGCACCCAGAGGAAATCCATGTAGACATGGAGAAAATGTGCAAACTCCATGCAGACATGATGTGGAGGTGCCAGTGTCGGACTGGGGTGGACAAGGTCAGAAATCACACAACACCAGGTTATAGTCCAACAGGTTTATTTGAAAACACAAGTTTTCGGAGTCTTGCTCCTTCTTCAGGTGTTAGTGAGAGGTAGTATTAGACCAGAATTTATAATTAAAAAAATCAGGGGGTCACACTACTTATGACGATGTACTAAACAAACCTAAGGTGCTGTTAAAATCTTTAATCAGTTAGAAGGTTTTAATTGATTAATTTTAATCATTATTATTAATCAATTACGTATATTATATATAAATACATATATAAATATAACATTAATCAACTAAAAGCTTCTAACTGATTACGATCAGAGCTACAAACAAATTAGCACAAAGATAAGAAAATTAGGGAAGTAACCAAGTAGCTGAAGGAGCAGTGAGGGAAAGATAGGTTCCATTTCATGGGGCACTAGCATATGTACTGGAACGGGAAGGAACTTTATCGTTGTGGCAGGCTGTGATGTGGGATCAATGTCTTGAGGGAAAGACTAAATAGGATGGTCACAAGGACTTAAAATTATAAAATGGAAGGCAGATGTCAATACAGTTTCAGAAACAAGAAACAGGACAGGTTAAAGAAGCAGTCAGGAATCCTCCGTAAAGTATGGTGGGTAATGGCAAAACTATAAAAAGTGTATTGATGCTGCCTGACCCGATATGATTTCCAGCCTGGATAGGTTAGTCTTCTTTTCCCTGGCGCAGAGGAGGATGAGGGGTAGCTGACTGAGATGTAAAAAAATTATAAGAGGCATAGACAGAGTAGATCATGAGAATCTAATACATGTCCAAGTCCAGACAGCATAAGGTTAAGTGAGGAGCAAGTGTTTTAGAGGAGATGTGAGAAAAAAAATCACCCAGGGGGCAGTAGAAATATGGAAGGTGCTGCCTGAGAGGGGGTGGAGGCAGGTACTCAACATTTAACTTAAAATGCCAAGGCATATTAACCGAGATACCCAGTATAGTTTGATGGTTATCGGTTTACACAGACATGTTGGGCTAACGGGCCTTTGTCTATCTTGAATCTCTTGAAAACACTTTGAAAACTGGTAGTTAATCAGGGACAGCCAGGATGGATTCATGACAGGTCATGCTTGACAAATCTCACTGAATTTCTTGAAAGAGGTGACTGTGGTAGTGGACAGGGGAAAATTGTTAATAAGGACTTCTGGAAGGCATTTGATAAAGATGATGGGGAGGTGATGACCCAGTAGCATTATCGCTGGACTATTAATCCAGAAACCCTGGTAATGTTCCGGGTTCAAATCCCATCATGGCAGATGGTGGAATTTGAATTCAATAAAACATCTGGAATTAACAGTTTGATGATGACCGCAAATCCATTGTCAATTGTTGGGAAAAACCCTTTTGATTCACTAATGTCCTTTAGGGGCAGAAATTGCCATCCTTATCTGGTCTGGCCTAACATGTGACTTCAGAATGTCGTTGATTGTTAACTTCCCTCAGGACAATTAGGGATGATTAATAAATGCTGCCTAGCTAGTGACGCTCCTCACTTTGCAAATGCACTAAAAAAATTATGCAGTGAGACTGCATCTGGAAATTTGCGTAAAGTACTGGATGCCATACTTGCAGAACGATGTTAATGTGTTGGAAGCAATTCAGAATAGATTTACATGACTAACAACTGGAATGAGTGGATTGCCTTCTGAGAAAGATTAGACCTGTATCCTCTGGAATTTAGAAGACTTAATTGAAACATACAAAATCATGAGGGGACTTGACTGGGTGAATGTGGAAAGGATGTTTCCTCTTGTGGGAGAATCTAGAACTAAGGGTAACAAAAAGAGAAACTACTGGAGAAACCCAGCAGGCCTTGTGGCATCTGT